AGACTCCTAGATGGGGCGGCGCGTGTCTGAACTTCCTCTCCCGGCGCCTCTTAGACACTGAGGATGGGGATTTTGCAGGCTGTCTGGTGGCAAAAGCGACTCTTTGACGGGGCTGGGTGGCCTGGCTGTGAGATGGCCCTGACCTGCTATTTTCAGGGGACACTGGTCGTTTTGAGCAGTCTCTCGATATCTTCCTTAAAGGGTCCTCAGGGATGGTAAAGTGAGAGTGGGAACCAGGATCTTCTCCTCAAAGAACCAGGCGTTGGCTTAACATCTGCCACCTCCCCATCAAGTGCTTGAATGCGGCCAGTGACAAAGAGCTCACTGCCTGATTCTTTTTGCTGGGCCAGATTTCTCTTCCTTGACTTCAGTTTTCCCTTTACCGTTGGCCCCATTTCCCTTTCACTGGCTGCAGGGAATGGATCAGAGACAGACCCACCCTGGAACAGAAAGGAAGCAGAAGGACTCGTGGCTTGAGAGTCCTGCTCACGAAGGGACTAGCCCGGCCACTTCCCCTAGCTCTTCACCCCGAAGGCAGATGGAATCTGGAGGGCAGGGGAGAGACTCTGCCTGCGGGCCAGGGCCTCTGCCTGCGGGCCAGGGCAGCTTCTGAGTGACCTGTGTGGGCCACGTAGCCCCCCCACCTCGTCCCAGGGGCTGCGCACGGCACTCGATGGAGGCAGAACTGCTTCCCCACCCGCCCCACCCTGAGCTCGAGCCCAGGCTCTGTCCAACCAGCATATCCGGAGCTAGCGCTGGGGCACGCGTGGTGTCAGCCTTCAGAGACCCCAGCTCCCCACCAGCCAGGCCCAGAAAAATCCCTGCTTTGCCTTTGGCCACTGGGGACAGGTTCAAAAAATGCGAAAAATCCCCCTTTCCCTTCACCTCCAGGAGTTCAATCTCTCCTAATCAATTTAGCAGGCTCCCTTGCTTGTAAACGGTAATGATTTTCATTTTTGAGCCTTTTTATCCCTCCTTAAGAAAAAAGATGCCTCCTCTGTCTGCATTCTAGAAGGCCTGTGCAGGGCTGTGAATTGCTTGTTAGCATTCACCCTGGCGCAGATCCAGAGCCAGGCATCCGCTGCCTGTCACCTGCACTGATCTGAGTGATGGGGGACATGGGCGCAGGGGACACCCCCAGCTGACCCAGCCTGAGCCGTGGCCCTGCGAGTGTGGTCTGGCCCTTGGGGCTCAGGCTGCCATGCGCCCCGAGGCCCCTCCTTCCGGATGCCCCAGCTCCCTCCTGGTTGCCTTCCCAGCTCCGTTGCTCCCTGTCTGCCGCATCCAATTTTCCTTGTTGTATTTTTCATAAGTGCGAGGCTCAGAAGCCCCGTCCTCCCCGGCACGTTCAGCTGGAAGCAGATTTCTGGAGTGGGCTGGCTTTGGGACTTGAGCTGCCATTGGCGGGGGTGGCGGTGTCCTCCTCTTACTCCACAGCTCTGAGGGCGTGAAGGAGGGATGCTCAGATGCAGCCCTGGCACGTTGCCCAGTCAGCTCCCTCAGCTCCCCAGGATCCCTCACCTGCCCTGTCCCTGTCACTCTGGGCCTCCGTCACCTGCCTTGGGCCAACCAGAACCTTCCAGAATCAGCAGATGGTGGGGGAGCCCCCATTGGGCTTCTGGAGCCCCCATCTTTTCTGGGTGAAGCTAGACCCGGCCTCAGCCCACCCCTACATTACAGAAGGGGAAACAGAGGCAGAGGCTGTGGATTCGCAAAACCTGCTTTCCCTGCATCTCCCTGGAAGCTCTCCCTGACCTTTCTTACTCTACTCCTTGCTGGGGCTGGTGGGCTTCCCTGGACCCCTAGGGGAGGGGAGAGGAGGCCCAGTGCCCATTGAGGAAGGAAGAGGCACAGGCAGGCGTAAGCTTCGGACTTCGGGTGGGGAAGCCTGGGTCCCCCAGCCACTGTCACCTCCCCTGCCAGCGTCACCCAGAGCGGGAGGGAGCCGGTGACCCAGCTCCTACCCCCAAACCCCAGAGGCCCCCTAGTCGGCCACGCAGCCGCCATGTTAACGGGAGGTGGTCCAGGAAGCAGGAGCCAATTTAGAGAAGATGGAGGCTTCTGTGGGAGGCCGCAGGAAGAGGGAAGGAGAAAAGGGAAGAAAAGAAACTTTTGATGCACATCGTGTCTGCGGAATTGAGTATGACTAATTAATAGATTTTATTCTTAGTAATCTCTTAAGCATTCCATACGTTGGGCCCCACGCCTGAGCTGAGCTTACAAGAGGCCTCATTCGCAAAATGCAAATGGCTCGCCTGGCCCTGCTGCCTTCTTTCCTTTTTTTTTTTTTTCAGGGGAAATTTAAAGGAAAATTGCCATGTAATAGAAAAGAGATTCCAATCACTACATCTAATTACCACAAAGGGTAAACCACTTAACCAAAGAAGTGTCAGGATTTTTTTTTTTTTTAACTTGAAACCTGCCTTAAATGCCACAAAATACACTCATCAACGCTGAGGTCAATGAGGTTGTTCTGGCTAGTTAGAGGCTGCAAGGGTCAGGTCGGCCGCCCACAGGAGGGAGATTCTAGACAGAAGTGGTGGCCCAAGCCCTGTGTCCTCACGTGCTTCTAGCGGGTGGAGGAGGCTGGGTGCCCTGGAACATCCTCTCTCATTATGTTGCATGGCTGGCTCAGAGGGGCTGGACCAGGAAGGGATGGGGTTTCAGAGCGGACCTAGCTTCAGGCCCCATCCCTGGCTTGGGGGGCCGTGAGACAGCAGACAGTTGGAAGCTTGTTCTTAGAAAGGATGCTGGAAAGATGTTGGGATGCTGAGGGCAGAAAAGATGAGAGGGGGGCCCCCGGGCCCTGGCTGGGCTGAGTCTCCACTATCTTCAGCACCTACACTAGCAGGAGGATGCCTGCGGCAAGGCAGGCAGGGCCAGGTTTCCCCCTGGTGTGAGTTGGGGCCCAAGCCCCATTAGTACAAGAGGCGGGAGCAGGAGACTGATGTGTCCTCAGGCCCAGGCAGGCCTGGGCCTGCTTTGTGCTACGGGGCAGGAAAGTTCATCACCCAGGCCTGCCCTGGAGGGCGCTGCTGGCACAGGCAGGCTCTCAGAGCTGCAAGGTCTCCCCTGTAGCCCTCCCTGTATAGGGCCACCTGCTGTTCCCCAAATGCCTTCTTAGCCTCTAAGGGGATGATCTGACCTCCCGCCTGGCTCCGGGAGAAGAGAAAGGAGGATGAAGAGTGAGAGCAGGGGACCAAGCATGTTGGCAGCAGGGGTTGGGGGTTGGAAGTGGGGAGGCTGGGACCGATTTTCCTGGAACACTGGCCAAAGACAGGGGTGGTGCCTTGGGAAGGAAACTGCATTTCAGAACCAGCAGAGACCTTGAACTTCTGACCCCCAGCCAGTGCCCCACACCCTTGTGCACCCTGTCCTCCTGGAGGCTGCTAGTGAGGCCCCTCTGCTCCTGCCTGGGCCACGGGGGATGCGCCTGTGTCTGGGGGGTGCCAAAGGGAGGGCGAACTTTACACGGATGTGACCTTTACACAGTCCCAGCCTTGGGAACATGGTCCCAGCCTTGGAAACATTTCTCTCCTGACCTCATTGTATGAGAAAATGCTTCAGGTGGGAAAAGGGAAAAAGCTTGAGTCTAGAATGAAATGTGTCCATGACCCTCGGCCTCTCCCTGGAGCTGGGGATTGGGGTTCCCCCCTTGGTGAGACCATCCATCCAGCCTGGCAATGAGAGCCGCGCCTCTTCTCCACCTCGCTCACGCAGTTGTTGTGTCCATTTCTTTCAAGCCCAGCCTCTTCACTGAGGGGCCAGCAGCATCTTTTCAGGTCCAGCAAATGGCTGGACCCCGGGCCTGTCACAGCAGCCCTGTGACTGCTGTTCATCTTTCTCTTCCTTTCTTTGGCTTTTGTCAAAGCAGGCAAGGCCTTCTGAAAACACCACGGCCAGGAGCTGGACCCCTTCTCATCCTCCCTGCCCTCAGAACAGCGTCTCTCCTTTGACATCGCCCTTCCTGGGCGCAGGACAACTGGCACCTTGACAGACGGTGACCCGAGTTCCCCGAGTGCTGGAATGTGGGAGATATCAGAACCCCAGGCACCACTCCTCTCTTCTTTCCAGATTTGCTGTCATTATTTCATCATCCTTTTAATCTCATGGCTCACCAAACAGCACTGTCAGTTGATAAACGATGGCAACATTGATTCCAGAGGGAGGAAAAAAAAGATCTTAGCTCTTCTGAGGGCTCCAGTCACTACCCTTTTGGAGGCTGGCATTTTTAGAGAGATCTGGTCTTCCCTCTTCAGAGCGGCATCCCAGGGGTGGGCACAGTGTGGTGTTCTGCATTCTGGGGTTGGGGGGCGTGCTGTCTCCTAGGGCTTTTCTGAGAATTTTCAGGTCTTTTTCTGGGCTTTGTTTGAGCAGCCATGGAAACCATTAGGTCTAATCAGCTGATATTAAAAAAAAAAAAAAAAAGTCTCTGCACCAATTACCTGTCTCTGGAGGAAGCACTTTGCACAGAGTAAATGCTCAGGAAGTAGCTGCTGAGGTGATTGCATTTGTGGGGGTGTAGGGGGAGAGAGGTGAGGACACTGGAAGTCAAAGAAAGCTCTTCTCTGTATCAGAAAGGAGCTTGGCCCAGCTCTGGCCAACCTGAGATAGGACTGACTGAACTGAAAACACCCCTTGCCCAGGGTCTCCCAGCCACCCAGCCAGGACAGACACGCCTCCGCCTTTAGGAACAGCATTATCCCCCACCCCACTCCCATCCCCAACACACTTTGTCTACTTACTCAATGATTTCTAGGAGAAAGCAACATTTTCGTGACTCTATTGTCTCAAGAAATTGTACGAACTGACCCAAGAAGTACTGTAAGGACTGTATATGTGGCTCTATCTACCCATCTGTAGATAGATACACGACATAAAGATAAACAGGTAGATAGATGCACCTCCAAGCGCTGGAACAGCCACAGCTTCCCTGGTGCTTCCATGAACTATGGTGCATGGAATTGAGGAGGGCTTCAGTATAGGAAAAAGAAAGTTTGTTTTTTAATCAGCTACATCGTCGTTCAAAGAATGCAGTGAAAGACGCGCTATTTCTGCAAATCTGTGAGGGAAATGGCATGGAAAGAACCAGGACAATATCTCCACAGCAAAACATCTTTTCTTCCCCTCTCCTTTGTGAGGAGCCTGAGGACCTTCCATCGTGTCGTCGCCAGTGAGCAGCCGGCAGCGAGAGCTGCATGGGGGCTGCGCGTGTTGGCTGCTTTTCTAATGGTTCCTTTGTGACGGCCCTGCACAGAGCATGAGGCATACACAGACGGAGCACAGGTAGTATCTTTCCAGTTCAGGAAAAATAAAAGCCCCAACCCAACCCTTCCTGCGATATTATTTTTAGTCTTTTCCTCCCCACCTGGCATAATTTGGTATAAATTATGTCTTCATCAATGTCAAATCCCCCTCCTGCCTTCTATTCTTTAAAAAAAATTACTTTTTTCACTGTTGTGTTCTACGAAATTGTCAACCCTCCCCAAACTCTGCTTTCTGATGGGAAAGTCATCATGGAATTTCTTTTCCTTGTTCTGTCAGATGGCAGCAGGCTGGTCAAAGCCACACAGTCGCCACACCAGGAGGAGGCAGGAGCCGGGTGCTGGCATCATGTGTAGGAGTAGTCTATGTCAGGGATGCCGCCGTCCCGGTAGCCCCGTGTGGCGCCGTAGCCGATGGTGTGCGTGCCCTTGCAGAGGCTGCTGCCGTTGGAGGGGAAGATGGTGTGGAGCACGTACTCGTCCTTGCTGTGGTAAGGGTTGACGGGCAGCATCTGCAGCCCGGGGCCGCGGATTTCCAGGATGGAGTTATCCTTCTTGGTCCCCGACTCCAGATAGTCGTCCTTTTTCCGGGTGCCGCGGTTGTAGGCCCGCTCCCGGGTCAGCAGCTCGCTGGCCCGGTGCACGTAGCAGCAGATGGCCCCCAGGACCAGGAAGAGGAAGACGAGGGCCACGGCGCCACCGATGATGCCCGCCACGGGCAGGCCCGCCATGGGGTCGGCGTTCTGCTCCTGGTTGAATGTGGTGGTGGGGCCGTAGCTGTCGGCCGTCTCCGCCTTGGCACACACAGGCGTCTCGTCGGCCACATAGGTGTTGCCGGTCTCCATGGTGACCATGCAGATGATATAGGTGGACTTGGGCTCCAGGGCCGTCAGCAGGTACTCTGTCTTGTCCCCCTGCACCAGAGTCTCCGTGATGGAGCCCACGGCTGGGCTGTGGCCCAGGCGCAGCCAGCTGAGCCGGAAGGAGGAGGCGGGGAGCGTGGCCTTCCACGTGATGCGGATGGAGTCGGCCGTCAGGGGCTTCACGTGGATGACCAGGGTCTTGGCACTGTCGCCCGTGGCCATGGGGTAGTCGAGGCTGGAGTCAGGGAGGCGCAGCCCCGGCCTCTTAGCCTTGAGGGTGAAGAGTGAGCCCTGGGGCGTGGTGGCAGAGGTGTGGTCACTGGCCGTGGTCTTGGCGGCAGCGTTGGCCGCTCCGCCCTGCACCCCCGCCTCGAAACATTCGTCCATCTCGCTGGTGATGTCCTTGATGGCCATGCCCCGGACCTTCTCGGGGCCCTGGCACATGAGGCCTCGCACGTTGACCACGGCCGCCCGTGCCTTCACCCAGTCCCGCAGCCACAGGAGGTTACAGCCGCAGAACCAGGGGTTGTTCCGGAGCAGCAGCTGGGCCAGGTTCTGCAGGTCATCGAACAGGCCGCGGGGCAGCGTGGTCAGGTTGTTGTTGGACAGGTCCAGGCGTTCCAGCTCACGCATCTTGGCCAGCGTGTTGTAGGGCACGTGGCTGATGGCGTTGTCCTGCAGGTAGAGCTTCTGTAGGCGGGCACTGGGCAGGTTGAGGGGTGGGGCAGCCAGCGAGTTGCGCACCAGCGAGAGCTCGGTCAGGTTCTGCAGGCGGCTGAAGGTGTCGTCGGCGATGCGCTGGTTGGCCAGCAGGTTGCCGTCTAGCACCAGGCGCCGCAGGCTGCTGAGGCCCTTGAAGGCGTGCAGCGGGATGGTGGAGATACGGTTGTCATCCAGCCGCAGCTCCTCCAGCGTGCGGGGCAGCCCCGAGGGGATGCTGCTCAGGTGGTTCCGGCTCAGGAAGAGCAGCTTGAGCTGCTTGCTGTCGGCGAAGGCGTCCTCCTCTATGCTGACGGTGGACACGGAGTTGTCATCCAGGTGCAGCTTCTCCAGCAGCGGGATGCGGGCCAGCGAGTCCCGGGCGATGGTGCGCACGTTGTTGTCCTGCAGGTGCAGCTCCCGCAGGGAGCGGGGCAGGTTCACAGGGAACTCATCCAGGTCGTTCTCGTATAGGTAGATGACCTGCACGTTGACCTTGGTCTTGAGGTCCTGGGGGATGCCGGCATTGTTGATCTGGTTGTTCTGCAGGTAGAGGGTGGTGGCGTCGTCAGGGATGTCGGCGGGGATGGAGGTGAGCCCCCGGTCGTTGCAGTAGATGAAGCCGTTGTCGCAGCGGCACACGGAGGGGCACGTGGTGCTGTCGATGACCTCTGTCAGGAAGGCGATGAGCCCATAGCAGAGGAAAAGCCAGTCCCGCAGGTCCATGGTGGCTGTGGTCATCACGACGGTGGCCGTGACGGTGGCAGTGGGCGTGGTGGTGGCGGTGGCAGTGGGGTGTGCCACCACCATGGTGGACGGCTGGGGGAGCCAGGCCCTGCTTGACTTGCAGCCTCTACACCTGCAAGGAGCACAAGACATGTGCGGTGAGAGCGAGTTGGGTGTCCACCCACCTGCCGCTGAGGGGTGGCTGCAGTCGAGGCCACGGGGCAGAGGTCAGGCCTCGAGGTGCATGCCCCGTGGCCCTTCCAAATGTCAAGTTTACATCACAGGTGATAGCTCGGGCTGAGGTCAGCCTCTAATGACCTTGGCTAACGTTAATCTCAGCGGGAGCAAAGATGCTGCCCGTGAACAAGACAGCTGTGGCCTTGGCCCTCCTGGACTGTGACCTCGTGACGTTAATTTACCGGGAGCCGGGCTGCAGTTTCAGTCTCCTTGCAGGACCCACACCAAGCCAGTCTTTGTGGCTGATGCTGCAAGTGGCTGCTCAGTGTTGATGGGATGGATTTAGAGCTACCGTTTCTCATTGGAACAGGGATCTTGTATCCCTCTCTGGCTTGGAACCAGGGACCGAAGGGAAAGCTTGTTTCTGCGAGGCCTGTGAGCTTGAGGTGGGGGAGGGGCGTCACTAGAACCTGCGAAAAGAATCTGCCGGTGTCCTCGCTGGCGAGCAGGGGAAAGTGGGGCGCTTCATCGTCTGGTGTTAAAACAACATGTCCTGTTTGTCACTTGTGCATCTTATAGACAGAAAAATGAGGTGTCAACAGAACTGCTTTCCCATGGCTCTACAGAAATCTCTTCTATCAGCGGTGCCCTTCCTACTGTGTTCCATGTAATGTGAGAAATTATTCCTTACTTTGCCCCCTTCCTAAACCACGAAATTTTCAGCTATTTTGAAAAAAATATATATCTGTTTTCTTGCATTTAAAGACATGAAACAAATAAAAGGAGGGAGGGGTCCACACTCTGAGGGAATTGTCTGCAAGGTGTAATTCTGGTTTTCACAAATGGAAAAATTGCAGTGTAGATTTTTCTCATATTACATTACTGTTCATAGTGGTAAAAAAAAAATCAATTAAAGAGAAATTATCTTTCAACCTCAGTGGGGAAGTGGTGTTCATGCAGCCGGCAAAGGTCTGCTTTATAACTCCAGGTTCACAAACGCTTTTCAGTGTGAGACACAGTGGCCTCTGGGAGCCTGAGCTGAGGCCGCAGCCTGGAGGGCAGCCCCGGTGTGCAGAGCAGAATTGGGACCCACTCACTGAATGAGATGGTGGGGCCCTCACTCCCATGACCCAGGGACCCTGTGTCTCCATTTCTCAACCATGTCAAACCCTTCTTCCTTCTGTCCCTCTCTGTTCCTGGACTGCTCCCCTCCGTCTAGCAAACTGCTCATCACCCTTCAGGAGCATGCTCAAACGTCTCCTCCTCTGCTAGGTCTTCCTCATGCCATAAAGAGCTTCCCTCTGCTCCATCCATCAATCTGTCCATCCATCCACCCATCTATCCACCCATCCACCTATTTACCCATCCATCTATCATCCACCCAGCGATACATCTATCTACCCACTCATCCATCCATCCTTCCATCATCCATTCATCCATCCATCCATCCACTCATCCACCCACCCTCTCACCTATTTACCTATCTATCCATCCATCTACTCACCCATCCACCCACTCACCCATCCATCCATCCATCCATCCATCCACCCACCCACTCACTTATCCATCCATGCATCTGTCCATCCAGCCATTCAACATGTCTTTATTGAGCACCTACCATGTGCCAACCTGTGTTTTAGCCACTTTGGATTCTATTCTAGTGGGATGGTAGCTCACACTATAATAAAGGTCTCACCTAGAATTTTATGAATATTTAAGCCATTTAATCCTTCCAGCAAATGTCAGGTCAGTGCCCTTTTTATTCCCATTTAACAGATGGAAAAACTGAAGCTCGGAGGGGTTAACTTGCTCGAGACACTTGATAAGTGGTGAAGAGAAACCTAAGCCAGGATCTTGACCACTAGGCTTGTGGTGCTGCATCTCGTGCCCATCTCTGTGGGCTGAAGGTTGCACTATTTAGTGACTAGTGTCTTAAGGTCCCTGACTAAATTTCGGGTGCTTGAGGGCAGGGACTGTGGGTTGTGTAGGCCTGGTGTGGCTTGCCATCAGTGACCACCCAAGGACAGAAGGGAGGCGGCTGAGGTGCCAGGCAAGGCGCGAATGCCTCTGCCCTGCTCCCTGCCGACCCCTCAACTCTTGCCCTATTTGCATTACAGGGGCCTTTGCCCAGGCTGCCGGCAGCTCCAAGGCCTTCTGGAGGGAGCTCAGGCTTTGCCCGTGGCTAACGCACTAACTCTGCTCAGGGCCTGTTAGCGGAATGAAGCTTTATCCATGAGGTGGACCGAAGGCAGGTGGAGGGCCAGCCGAGGACACCTGGCTGGAAGCAAGTGAGGGTGAGGGGGAAGGGTGCACGGGGTCTGTGCAAGGAGCCGGAGGGGGATGAGGTCCCGAGGGAAGCTGGGAGGAAGGGGGACTGGTGAGACTGTGACCAACACTCTGGGCCTCCGAAGCCAGCTCAAGCCCCCTCCCAGCCGCCGCAGCTGGCCTGAGGGCCTGAGGACATTTACCTACTTACTCCTGATGCTTCTTTGGAGGTTGTCCCTAGTCTATGGCTCATGACCCCACTCACACCCCTGCCCCTTGGGACTTGGAGTTGGTCTTTGCTTCCCTCACATGTGTTCCCGGCTCTCAGTGGGTTTGGACAGGGATAAACCCAGGCATAAGGGGCAACCCTCTGGCCAGGCCCTGCCCAGCGCCCTCACAGGCACATGTTTGTATCTGCACCCACCTGTCACATGCACACAGGTCCTCGGTCCCATTTTACAGCTGAGCAGCCTGAGGCTCAGAGAGGTGAGGGGCCCATTCAAGGTCACAGCCAGCCCAGGTTTCCAGCTGCACATCTGTCCCTTCCTCTGCACAAAGCCAGAGCCATGAAGGTTATGGAGCCTGGAGGTCCTGTCTCAAAATGCTTATGAGCAAAGAGGCAGGGCCAGGGCAGGTGCTGGGGACAGGAAGGCTCAGGTCTTCTCAAGGCCACCTTGCCTCGGTCTCAGGGGTCAGGTCTGAGCCTAGGAGCACCTCTGCCCAGGCCCCCAGCACCTGGCCAGAGGACGCACACCCTCCTCTGAGTCCTGGCGCAAGGAATGCTGTTGGCCCCTGGGCTCACAGATTCCGGAGCAGTGCCCTGAGCAGGGGGTAAACTTGTTAAGGCCAAAGGCAAGGCCAGACCGCCTTCTCTGGCATGAACATCAGTCCCCGGTGCCCGCTCAGCTCATGGCCATAGCCCTCAGCCTCCAGATGCCCCGGCATCATAATAGAGTCTAAATTACACCCTTCAGAGATGCCTGATGGATAACCAAGAAGCATTTGGGAGGCAGGGACCCAAGGCCTTTCTCTTCCCCTGTCTGCGGCCCTCATCCATCTTGGCCGAGTCTCCCCTGCCACCCCCTTCCCCAAGGCCTCCCGATGCCAAGCCCTGGCTCCAGGAAGGCAGGGAGGGCCTGGGGTGGGCAGGAAGACAGCGTGCCTTGCCTGAGGAGCCCTTTAATTGCCCGGGTGCCACGAGGCCCTTTTATTCCCTTGTTTTGTGTTTGATGGTTTATGTGGCCATCAGATGAAACCCGGTAAATCGCCCGTCTTTTACTTTTCATTGTTGCGAGAATCCCTCAGACTTCAGCGTGGTGTGAGTTATGACCTGCCAGCTCCATGACTGACAGCCGGATCCTTGGCGTGCGATGGAAGTGGGGGGGGGGGGAGCAGTGAGATGGCTCAGACTAGAGGTATCCAGACCCCCATTAGCTGAGAGGTGACCTGGGGCGTCATTCTTGGCATTTTCTATCAGTCGCTAGCTCCTGGCATCTAGGACAGAGACACCTGGGTTCGAGCACTGCCTCTCTCCCTCTTCCTGGCTGTGAGATCCTGAGCAAGTTACTTGTCCTTTCTGAGCTTTAGTTTCCTTATCTATAAATGTAGCCGTCAAGTTCCCCTTAGAGGGGAGCTCACTACTGAGCATTCAGTGAGGTAATACCTGCAAAGTACACCCTTGTAAGTGCATGAGGTTTAAAAGCTGCTGTAATTCTCTGACTGCTCCAGGCATACCAGTCTAGCCTCTGTGTTAACTGCTTGTCTCTCTCCTCTGCAATCCAGAGGCCCTTTCTTTACTCCCCTGCCCCTGCTGTGCCTCCAGGGTAGACTGGGAGGCTGTAGGCCAAGCTGCTTCCTGGCAGGGACTCCCTGTCATTGCTGTGATGCTGGGTCTCCCCAACCTCAAACTGCATCCTCAGCCCTGTCCCCACAAGCTAGGGTAGAAACACTGACCCTAAGCCTGCTCTCCCTTGTGCTGCCTCTGGGCCTTTGCACGTGCTGTTCCTGCTTCTTGAACACCAACACACCTTCCCCACTCAAGCTTTGCCAGGCCAGCTTCTGCTCACCCTCCAGGCCTCAGCTTGGACGCCCCCTCCATGAAGCCTCCCAAGTTGTGTCTGGCTCTGCTTCCCATACCCAGTTGACTGGTGGTAGTCGGACCTGAGTAATATCTGTAAGTACCTGCCAACCGGATGGAGGCGCCTCCCTGTTGGAGACGCCTGGCCTCCTGGCGCTCTGCCCCGTTGTCTTTTCCAAACCCCATCAAGCTGGGGCTGCCAGAGACCCACGGCCCTCTGGGGGGGTCTTCTTGGGGAGTCAGAGTGAGGGCAGGGGGGCAGCTGCAGGACCCCAGCACAGGCCCTGGCACGCTGGATAGGAGAGGGCATCTACCGCCACAGTTAGACATGATGCACCAGGGGCTGAGCAGGGGTGGGGGCATGTGGCAGGAGGGAGCTGGGCATCCCAGGCAGTAGAGGGAAGTCTGGATAGGCCTCCCCCTGCCTCCCAGTCCTGGCCTTCCTCCCCGTTTGCCAATGAAGGCAGCTCATGTGAGGATATCCTGATGCTGCGACCCCCGAAGTACCAGGTACAGTCTCCGTGCCCACTATGGGAATCAGAGAATTCCAGGTGGCACTGACCCCGAGAAGGAGGCGTGTAGACTAGAAGCGGGGAGAGGACACCAGGGCTAG